GCAAGGCGACATCATCAGGCTGTAACTCAATCTTCTGTTATATATTGAAATTTTTAATATATTTTAAATATTTATATATTTAAATATATATTAAATAATTATATATTTAAATATTTAAATTCCGCTCGAAGTTACTAAACAAAAGACAGAAGAAACGGTCATAATTTGAGTAAAAAAGGGTGTTAAAAATTAAAAATTTGTTACCTATTATTAGAGATGTAAATAGGAAAAAACCAAATTGTTTTTTTTTTCGTAAAATACGTTTTTTTTTTAAAAAAACATAAGCTTCGTTTTTTTTCAAAAAACATTTTTTTTAGCTATCTATTTAATATCTATATTTTGCTTAATATAGTTTATTTTTAATGATTTTTTATTTTATAGATAGTAGATTTAAATTATCATTTTAATCTTTACGCAGAACGAGAAAGCCAATATATTGATTATGACTTATGAGACATATTTTGAAGCAAGAACTTCAATTAATTATAATAAATTAATTATAATAAAATTATAATTAATTTATTAATTATAATTAATTATAATAAATTCTACTTAAGGAAAAGCTGTTTAGAAAAAGAATTAAAACGATTCTCCTTTTGTAAAAGTAAATGTAGATCACATTAAAATTAATTATATAATTATATAATATACTATTTACAACTAATTAGTTGTGCTATCGGAATTAGAAAAAAAAACTAAATTTGTATTTTTTCAATGAAATAAAACACGTTTTTTTTCTAGTGTTTTTTTCTATTAGAAAAAAAAACGTTTTTTTTACATCTCTACCTATTATAATAAGCGCACGGTACATTTCGACTTTACTTTGCCTTTCTCAACCGTATAAAATTACATTAATAAAAATTTTAATAGAGAATTACAAATCTATGTGAATAAAATCTATGTAATTCTCTATTAAAATTTTTATTAATGTAATTTTATGCGGTTGAGGAAGGCCAAAAAAGGTCGAAGCGTACCGTGCGCTTATTATATGTAATAAATTTTTAATTTTTGACACCCTTTTTTGCTTGAATTATGGCCATTCTTCCTGTCCTTCAATATTCTGTACAAGAAATTATCGTATTGAATGTATTATACTATTATTACGCGTGATCTTTCTCACAGGCAATTGCGGCAGATAGAAGTGATGCCAAAACGTGGACCTAGTACGCGATCTTCCTTTTGAAAATTGGCGACGTGGAGCGTGCGAAAGAATGTTGCTGCGAAGCAATTCTTTTGAACAGACGAGATAAATTCGCGTACGTGAAAATACGCGAGTGCACTTTCCTACTTGGGCTCGGGAAGAAAGACGCGATAGATTTCTCAAATAATTTTATATATAAAAATGTAATAGATATTCCTTCCCGCAGTTTACTGACGTATGGATTAATCCTCGCCGAAGGTGAGAGTTATCGAGAAGCGGAAGTCTTTCTGAGAGCCGTTGTCGATTTCTACCCGCAGTTCGTCGAAGGATGGGCTATCCTGCATCTGTTTTACAATCGCACAAATTACAACCCAGGTATAACAGAAAAATCCATCAAAGCTCTTTGCGTCGAGCAAAGATAAATTAAAATGCATAAAGAATATATTCTCTTTTAACAGGGATAGATCTTACTTTAAGAACAGCGGAAAGATGCATGAAAAGCGGCGTTGGAGAGACGGAGATCTCGAGTGAAGATTCTCTTGCATGGACAATGATTCACTGTCCGCCGAGTAACGTGTTCATGATAACGGCCACGCTCCTATTGAAGCTGCATTTCTGCGACGTAATATGTCTGCACTTAAAATACGTCTTACGTAAGAACGCGTAAACTATGTTGTCACGATTTCCGTTTGTATATAGTTTGCTGGCTTGGCGTTGGCGGAGGAAATGTCTCGCGCGGGCAGATCCATCCATATTTTCTATTACTTAGCCGTGCAATATTATTTAACGCAGAAATACGGAGAAGCTTTGTCGCACCTGAGAGAAGCTGAATGTATTTACGGACTGGTTCGTTCGCCATTTCCATTATTTTTATATACTTCAACTTGGAGTACAACTTTGGTTTCGTAATTACGAATTGCGAATGTCAATTAGTGACTTTGATAAAAGATAAATATAGAAATATATAAATATAAAAGCTAAGCATGGTGTCCAGTGATATCTGGCTAGCCAATTCAAGCATAATTCCGGGACATTTCAGGTAAAAATCCTGCATTTTTCCAAGTCGATTAATTTTCATTACTTAATTAATTTTTATTGATTTGCGCAATATTATATGTTTTGTATTCAAAGTAGGATTTTATACGAATATATTAAATTTAAAATTAAAATGCGAACAAATTTGGAACAATATTATTTATTGCTTTACAAATTGCTTGCTCTATTTTATCTTTAAAGGAGAGCTTATACAATCATAAAACTTTTTCGAAAACAACGTTACCGATGTTATCAACATAGTTCTTGACACACGCAAGAAATATTTCTTCTTTCTTTTTTATTTCACGATTCAATTTTTTTAGAATAAAAGAATGACAAAAATTCAAAGTCAATTCAGAAATTCCCGGGGTTTTCCAGGAATTTTCCAGGGACACCCTGATAAATACGTTCTACATAAATAGATTAAATATAATTATATAATAATATAATTGTACTATATACAGGGTGTCTCGTACTCAACAGGGCTTGTGGGAAGGTAGTGTGGACCAAACTGAACAAAAAAGTCCTCTATCATTTTGCGATCTTTGCAGTAGTTAGAGAGATACTAATCATTAAAAAAAAATTTACGCCAAGTATATACAAGTGTATCGTATATTAGGTACATCTTATCTAAACCAAAAATATTATTTTAATAAATAAAAGTTGTCTAAAAACAAATATGAGATCATACAAATTACCAAGTATTTGATTAGACATAGAGAGTAGAAACAAAAATATTTTTATTCCAAACCAGAAAAATATTTTTTTAATAAATCGTTTAAATTATTCAAAATTATATGCAGCAAAAGTTTAATGCCATTGTCTTTTCAAATAACTTTAAGTTTTGTAAAACAGATTTAAAGTTATATCGGAAGAGCACACGT